AACTTTCCTCACAAGTGATGCAAGTTTACATATAAAGTCTAGCAGGAGTGTAGATCGGAAACCACCGAGAATTTCCCGGAATTTCATCATAATTTCCATATTGTCACCAAAACATGTAGTTGACCATGTGCTTATTTTCCCCCCACACTGGACTGGACCAGCACATGGGAAAAATCGAGCGCCACAGGTCTTTTTCGGAGTGACGATTTAATTTTTTTATAGCTTTTCAAAAGAATATTTTTCTTCAAGTTCACACAGAGATAGAGTATTGAGTCGAGGAAAACTTCGATGAGGTTTTGAAATGATCCCAAGAGTATGCATAAATAGACATTTCGAGCAGTATGGAATTGCATGTTATTACTCTGTTTGCATCTACTGCAACCCCCTGGGTCAGTCGCGATGACCGGACATGAATTTGACGTCCCCAGACTTTGCGAGCTCGACACGGAGCAGGAAGCCTGGATGAATAGTGACGACATTCAAGTCGACTGGTATTACCTTGCTTGACCTAGTTCTACCCATAGTGTGATGATGTTGTTGGGGTTCTTTCCGAGGAAGCTAGCGCGCGCCGATATTTCCTCCCCTGCTCCAAGAGGATGGGTTTCCACAACACAGTTAGCATATGTGGAAATACTAGAAGTAGTCGTGCCAGGTGTACTCTCGATATTAGTGGGCTTCTGGTATTGTAGGAGTTGACTTCGTGGGAGGAGAGTACCGTAACTCTGACTACGTCTACGATAGCATGGAAATGAAAGTCGCATTATTGGTATTGTAGTAGTTGTATTAATGACTCGTCTCGTTGCTACTGTAGCAGCAGGAGTGGTGCCACGTGGAAACTCGCGATATTTTCTGAAGGTTTATAGGCCTCAACGGACCAGACGTTAAATATTTAAGATTTTCACCAACTACAGGGTGCTGCAAAAAAGAGCCGACTCTGTGGATATCTATGAGCACTGGAACGTGTGTATGACACCATTTCGAAGCTCTCATCTGAGCTACGATGCGAGCGGTCGTTACGGGATGTTACGAGATTCCTAAGTGCATCGGTCTAGCGCGAGGGTGAATGGGTAGGCATTTCCTGGCAAAGACCATCTGCGGGTACTTGAGCATGTCTGACATACTCTGTCATACATATAGACTGGAAAAAGCTCAATGGGCAAGAAGAAGAACTAACACGCTGGAATGGTCTAGTTGGTTATGACGACTGCCTAACACGCAGTAGGTCCCGAGTTCGATTCTCGGTTCCAGTACATTGTTCCGCGACGGTTTCTCACAT